GAATTTTTTGTTGTTGTTGACTTACTGCTGTTTTCAGATTAATCATGTTTGGTTTTTATGCAGATTCGATTAGAGTTAGATCTACAACTTTTTGGGACAAATGTTGAAGCTACAAACGGGTAGCGAATATTCTACATAATAATACAGGTATGGTTTTTTTAAATGAATATGAATTAGTTTTCATCTTCAAGCCTGTAGGGGTTTGTCTGTGCTCTCAAACTAAGTGCCCTTAAGTCATTTTGTCCTGCTTCTTCTGTGAGTGGGAATCATGGTGGGAAAATTTTGTTTGGAGAAAGCCAAAGATGCAGTATACAACTTTTATCAAAAAATAATTTTGACGTAGAAATGAGGAACTCTAGAGATGTTTGCTTTACATCTGTCTCGTACGTACACCTCTTGTCTCGCCCCTTTCCCTTCTTTTTTCTCTCTTCCATTCTCCCTTTTTTTGTTTTATTCCAACAGTTTGTTCATCAGGGCTTTGCCATGAATTCAAGATCTCAGAATGGTCTTTATTACACCTAATAAAATTACATAATTATTGAAGGTGTATGTCTCTTTCACATCATATTTACTTGTCATAAATTTTGATTTGACTGATCACAACCCATGATTGGGACTGACATATGAATTTACTTACTGCACAGAATGTATAATCATTATAGTTTTAAAAGTATCTTTTAATACAATTTTTTTAGGTATTTTATTTTCAAAATGAGAAGCATTTTTTTTTCTCATGATCTGCTTTTTGAGAAAGGAGCATCTACTTTACTTTAAGTTTGTCTCCAAATGTGAAAATTTCATCCCCAGGGTAGATACATATATGGTGTTGTGTATTACTTACCAAAGATTAAGAAATTAGATCTAATATCATTCCATTTTTTTGTTTGATAATTGCCATAGTCTACATTTTATTTTCATTCAGTTTTCCCAAATGATGTTTTTTTTTTTTTTTCGAAAGTGAATTCTTTTTTTCAATGATCTAGACTTTTATGGGTGCTACAATGTTTAGAATTATTTGCTGGCCACATATGTGAATTGAAAGCTTGTGTATGTAGATGTGTTTATCCGGAAATTTAACGTCTCACTACTTTTGCTTTACATTTCATTCTGTGTACAGAAAATACTAAGTAGGCTATATGTGACACACTTGAAAATGATTTGAGCAAAAGTAAATGCTCAACAAAGAAGCCAGGGTTAATGTGCGAAAGTGTCTTTTATATTCAGATGAAACATTCCTTTTTTGCCATCTTTATGTGAATATTAATAAAAGAATTAATAAAAGAAACACTCTTGAGTTTCATTTACCTTTTTCTTGGCCTGACTGCTTTGTGTGAAGGTATTGTTACTCTATATCGTGTTGATTGTATAATTTACTGAACATTTTTTCCAGAAAATTTTTTTACTGGAAAAATATTAAGGGATAGAAAAACAAGAAAACAGAATAGAAAAGAAATCTGCAAAATGAAAATCAACTATGTATCTGTACCACATTGTGTCTCAACGTTGAGTGTTATAAAGTTGCACACACTTTGTTCCTTATTTAGTGTAAAATTGACGAGGAATAGAATCAAGAAAGTGAGAGAGAGAGACAGAGAATGAGTGAGTGAGTGAGTGAGTGAGTGAGTGAGTGAGTGAGTGAGTGAGTGAGTGA